ATTGGAACTTTGCAGAATAGCATCGTTGCTTATAATACGCTGGAACTGACATATCTGCTTATCGTTGGTATTGCTGCACAGGTGAGCTTTGAGTCTCTGGGTGATTTTCTTCCAAACTAACAGGTCTCTCTCAGGCGGTTGGCATATACGCATTCTGGACAATCCAGCAACGCTTCAAGCTCGGAACCAAAACTATGTTCAACGCCATCGCTGTTGGAATCATCTTACTTGATGGCTGGGGCATGATCGGTATATGGACCAACAAGTTCGGCTTCCACAATGCATGGGAAGTCTGGGTATGTCAATCCCACTCTGCTATATGAGCAATAATATCTAATTAGATTGATGCTATAGGTCTACCAAGCGTTCTACGGCCTTTTCATCTGCCCCTGGTACAGCTACTCGCAGATCATGATCTCGGAAGTCACACCACGCGGCCACGAGTTCCTCTTCTTCAGTCTATTCAGCATCATTGGCAAAACCTCCTCTTTTATTGGTCCCATCGTCTCGAGTGCAATCATCGATGCGAGTCCGTCGGGCAATGTGTCAACGCCATTTTACTTCTTGTTTGGGTTGAGTGTTGTCAGCTTTTTGATTCTGTTCTGGGGGGTTGATTTAAAGAAGAGCCAGGTAGAACAGGAGAGGTTCTTGTTGGATAAGTTGCGTCAGCTGGATGCTAGTACGTCATCTTCTGATGGGGAGACTTCTGCAGCGGTCTAAACTACTGTCTTCGAACATATCACAGGGGTTGGCTTTTTCTAGTGTTTGTATGTAGGCACTGCGACTTGGGGATTTATTCTTATACATTTTTATGATATACATGCAGCAACTGCAATGTGAAATGACATAAAGCAGACATATACCGAACACAGGCTATCATTTATTAGATAAATGAAATTTACTATAATTTCAAGAACAGTGTGCGTAGAGTAGAAGAACAGATCATTTCTTGGTATTGAACAATATTTTTTGTAAATGTACACACCAACTTGGGGCGTACACGGTTGCAACGTTGCAACGAAGAACCAGGAGACAAGACATTTAAACGCCAGACCTATGCACTGCCATAAGCGCCAATTCCGATACAAGATACCGATACCACAATCAAAGAGCAGATCATTCCCCATCGGAAGAAACTTCCTTGGACTTGCTCTTCTTCTTTTTCTTCTTCTCTTTGCGCTCGGCAGCCTCGTCGGCGTCGACATCCTCCTCGGCCTCGCGTTTCCGCTTGCTCTTTTCCTTCTTGTCCTTCTTTTCTTTCTTCTCCTTCTTCTTCTTCTTTTCGTCGAGATCGGCTGGTGTCACCTCCTCGGGCGCAACGAAATCCTTCTCGCGCTCGCGCATCTTCTCGTCCCGCTTGAGGCGCTGTCGCTCGACAACCTCCTCCTTGTGAACGCGCTCCTTGGCCTCCTTTGACAAGAAGTACTCTCCAGACTCGATTTGCAAATCGACCTTGCTCTTCTCCGGCGCAGGGGGGAATGGCGTGTACGTTTTCTTCTCCTTGTCGGTAACCTTGAACGGCACGTGGCGCTTGGACAGCGTGCGCTTCTTGAAGTTAGGCAGGAACCGGTCCCAGGACTCTTCCGCCAGCGTCGGGTCCTTGGCGAGCTCGCGCTTGATCATCAACTCCTTGATGTGGTAGATCGGGTGGATGTTGGCCATGCAGTCATCGATAATGCGTCGCACCTCCTTCAGTCCCTTGAACGGACCCATCACCGCCACCGTGTTACCCTGTACCAGGATGTATGTGCTGGTGAGCAGCTCAAGCGCTTTGAGGGTTGAACCGTTCGGGCCGAGGATACGCTGTCGTCGCTTCACGAATCGCTCTTTGTTCCGCACTTGGTTGCGGATCTTGATCACGTCGCATGCCACGCCGTCTTCGAGGATCTTCATCGCTTGTGTCACCGGTACGCTTCTTGCAAGCAGCTTGATCAGATCCCGGGATTTGATGATCGCTGCTGGGTCGTAGGTCTTCCGCGTCGTCTTCACTGTCATGCTACCCTCAACCAAATCCAGTGTGCAGGCGATGCCCTGCTTCTCCAGCGCTCTTGTAATCACCGGCCATGCTTCCTTCAAGTATTGTTCACGGTACTTGGGGAAGAGTGTCATGAAGGACGACTCCTCGGCGAAACTGCCTGCGGCATTGTGTTCCGGTTTGAATTCTTCGATCTGTTGCGAGGATCCGTCAGTAAGGATTTTTCAAGCGTGAAAAAAAGACCGTAGGAATGTGTTTTGACTTACCTTCCACTTATCGATATCATCTGTATCCCAGGCCTTTTCCTTATTGTGTGTTGAAGGCATCTTGTTGGTGGTGACTTGATCAGGAAAAAGAATTGGCAACTGTTCCGGAGCTCAAATGAAAATCCGCGCCAACTTTTTTTCTCCCCGCTTTCCCCGATTGGGCAGGTCTTTATGCCTACTATTTCAGGCACCAATCGCATCTAGATCGGGGTCAAGCCTGCGCATCTTCCTCTTGGCCAGCTCTGCGCTAATTTCCTCGGTGTACGAAATACCGAATATAACAATTGCTAAGAATAGTTGAAGTTGGGGGCCAATTACCATCAGCACATAACAGGGGTACCTTGGTCTCAAGTACTCCGTACAGGTGTACAAATGAAATTGGAGATTGATCATGGGAAGTATTCGGCGATTTCCACATGTATAAATAGACTAGTATAGGCCTTCCAAGCACCAATCTTCCAGGGTTAATTGCTACTCATTGAAACCACAAGCTGTCGAGTCTGAATTCTCCACTCCATGGCTGCTTTGACCTCAGAGCCCCTGGAGGAGACCAATCACAAGTCGATTGGTACGGCTCTCGGGTAAATATGTGCCCAATTTTCGCCTCAAGGCCGCTCCCTAACACACCCACAAAGAGGAAAGTGTATAGCTTATGCATTTCCAGCTGCTATGGATCTTGCAATCGGGATACCGCAACTCGTCGAGCTAGTGTCGCTCTCACACAGGGGCATTCCGGAGGAACTCTTATCAGACACTAAGAGGCGACATGGCCTCTTCCCGCGTAAGGAAGAAGGAAATCAACAAACCAACAGGACTCCAGCGCTAGTTAGGTCCTGCTATCCATCTCTGCTCGTGTAAACACCCAGTTATTGGTGATTTAGAGGTTGTGATTGGGTACCAAATCCGTATGGGAAACACGGTAAAGAGTGTATTAGATATCAGAGCTCCTATTGCATAGATACTACCGGTAAGACACCAGATTGGATGTTTCTTAATGTGTAACGGACGTTGTAGTTGTTGATTGAACCTGGGAGGGGAGCTCACTGCCGCTCGGGGCGATCACCCTTGATATGAGGGAGTCTGCTCTGAACTCGTGAAGGTGTAAAGGCGTGCCAGTGCAAAGCTGTCAAGTTGTCAACCCGGTATGAACATTGGTACCGGCTGGTATTGGCATTTGAGGTCAGTCAAAGCGTATATACCGCCTGAGACCGGTGTAAATCATGTGTTCCTAAAAGTTGGTGGTTCCCTGGGTCTCCCGTCAGTTCGGTAAGTCCCCTCCGGTTTCATCTTCCGTTGTGTTCTTCGCCTTTTGTCACCTCACTGGTCAGGTACATCTCTGGGAGCGTGATGGGGTCGAAAACATCCTTCTCTAAAGGGTAAGGTCGGATCGGGGACCAACGGTGTCGGGTATCGCGCACTGGGCACGATCTCAACAGCTTAATCTGCACCCCCAAGCCTCCTGCTTTCAGTCCCTCTCAACCCCTCGCCTGTTTCGTTTCACTCCCATTTTGTCTAGGAGCGGTCAACTAAAAGTTCAACTTACCCTAGACAGCGACAGCAATGCCTCGACTCCGAGTTTCATCCAATACACCTTCACTTTCCCACCGCGATTGGCAGTAACCCATCGGCAACCCATCCCGAGTGGATACGAGGCTCTTCAAAGCCAAGATTCGATGCACGTGGGAATTGTTGTTTGTCTTCCGCAGAAACCGTGATGAGTACGGTGGACTACGAGCATTCTCTGATTTCAATCGTCGTCGAGTCGTTCCACTCGTTCTCTATGCGACCAGGCAGTCCCCCTTCGATGAATCATGCCGAGATTCCCAAGGTCTTCACTAGACTTCAGCAAACATACAACAATGGTTATTGATACGGATCCGCGTTGCATTACAGACGGCAAAATGAAAGAACCGGTGCAATGAAAAAGCCTCATTCGACTAACCATCTTTCCGCTAATGCCACATGTTTACGCAAATGGGATGCGAAGAGCAAAACAACAAAAAGCTGTACAATATGCTGGATGCGTAATGCAGGAGGGAAGGCATTGAAAGTGGGCTCAAATTGGGAGCTGTTTTCTTTCTTCCTCGAGAGATTGCCCCTATCGAGCTATCACGCCTGCCGATTTGGCTAGATCGATGCCTTTATGGCTTTCTGCCAATGCACACATATCTGCTCTGTCAGACCTTGTCTCTCAGTTTCATATTGGAGCAATACCTACAGTGGGAAATATGCCTTCAGTGTGCGGTCTGCTGCCTCTCGCTGCGCTTGGTCCACCAAAGCATTGAAACTATCTGGGGACATATGCAAGCGTTGAGTCAAGGGGTATAGTGCAAGTGATCGTAGAAGTTGCTGCACGTTTGCACAACTGTGTCGGCCGATGTCTCGCATCCGTTGATCTGCATTGAATCAATCAGCCTCGTTCGTTCTTTTTTGGGCAGCCAAATACCGACCAGTCGACCACGCAGACAGAGGAAGAGGAATCATCTTCGTATCTACCTCGACAAAGCCCGCCTCTGTCATGAGAGTTCTCAACTTCGATCCGACCCGAAGATCTTTCCTGTCTTCCAGAGCACGTAGGTATTGTGTGCTCCACCTCCTCAAGGCATGCGCATCAGTGATTGAGCCGTTGTCAGATTGAACATTGAAATATATTTCCACCATTTGGATCCAACCTCCTGGCTTCAGGACCCTTGACGACCGCCGATGTTAGCCCTTGGGTTTCGGTTGGAGAACTCCTGCCTCTTGGAGTGACGGCAAGGTTAACCTGCTCTGGGGGATTCGCACCTGACTATGTCACGAAGATAGGATGGCCATCGGGATCGGTTAATGCCGGTCGCAAGGAGTCTAGAGTGAACAAGGTCGAAATGATTTGCAGGAAAGGTGAAACGGCGGTTCAAGTCATCGACCTATTCGGCACAAGTTAGCAACTGTTTTTCAGGATGGTACACACCTGAACGGAACTTGTTCAAGATTGACGGATCACACAAAGCTCATGAAGCACAAGGCACGGGTAAGAGGCAGTGTTACAGCCCTCTTATGGTGTAAACCACACTGTTCCCCGTGGTGAAATTTGAGACAGGTTGACTTACCTGGAGCCACAAGTTGTCAGGCATGTCGTCTGGACTCATGTGGGGGGAAATGTCTACGCCGATGACCTATGAACCACCGAATATTAGGATGTTGTCGGGCGCAATCAATGGGAAATCTTACCTCGCAATCAGGATTCTGCTCAGCAACATCAACGGCCCAGGATGCGGATCCATGCCCACAGTCCAGAACTCTTTTCAGTCGACGGATTGGTGGGAAGATCAGACGATTGTCGAAAATTCTTTGGAAAAGTTGTTGCTCGTCTTCGAGTCGTTGTGCTTCTTCCTGGCTCGGCTGTCAGTGAGAAGACAACCATGAAAATCTGAACGTCTTACCTCATCGACCGGTCCAAAGTACGTATGATGATCGATCGAATATTTCTGATACTCACGGCCCTGAACTGTAACCGTATCGAGATATTCACGGTCTAATTCTGTCGTTTGTGAATCGGGGTTCCTGGCGGTGATCAACGTTAGTTGCCCCTGGTCCGAAAGAACGACGGGGATAACTAGCATACGCCATTGTCACCATGAATCGAGTGGTGTTGTGGACGAAGAGGAAAATCTGAGTTGGTATTGGTATATCCTGATTTGTCTGGCCAGGGCGGGGTTGAATTCTCCGAGTACAAGATCTTGCTTCAAATCACGATATCCGAAAAAGGAGTGAAATTTGATGTGCTAGGAGTTTCATGGGAGAGAGCGGGTGCCGCTTGAAGACGTCGGCGGTACCCTCGGAGAGGATGGCGGCTCGCGCGAGGATCATTCGCCCATGGGCGTCTGCTCGCGAAAGCTGTATGGAGGGGCTTCCAATTATACGTACCAAAATGTACGAACGGGGAAGGCCAAGCGGTCCACCCAATCGAATCGCCTCGTTTAAAGATCACACCAGACGCAGGACTGGATTTGTGAAGACATGGGGTGCTTAACTGTCGAAGATTTAGCACAGATGGGGCCTGCGTGGGTGGTAATCAAATACGATCAATGCGGACTCCCAACTCCCCTCCGGATCGTTCATGTGGTTCCTTGGGGCCAACCCCGAAATGGTCCCTCACATCCTTGCTAGCGGGACTACTAAAGATGGCCTGAGACGCTCCTCGCAGGAGGCTCTTGTTCCTACTCGATCACACTGGTACGTCAACCAAGGCTCGACCAAAGAAAAAAAATGCGGGTCGGTTGAGTAGCCGAAGAGTGGTTCACGAATAATCCCGGACGATTGACACCAGAATGGGTAAGTATCAGAATAGATTTGACTCGGGTCCGCTGCTTAAAGTCAAGCTAACGAACCTTGAAACTAGGCCGCAGTGCCGTCAACTAATGCACAGTTCGCCGTCTCGCATAGTACCTACTTTACTCGAGGGTCCAAGGGCGCCCGACAGTGTGGATCGAGTACAAATCCGGCCACGCCGCTGAATCTGACCGGGGTCTCCCTACCCTCATCAAGAAATCGTCGCAAAGCTAAACATGGTGGGTAATTCCGCGACTGTTGTCAGCGGTTAGAGCGCAAGTCTACGGAAAATTGAATCGCACCTTACTCGCGCTGCTCACCATGATTCCACATGTTTCTAGGAGTTCACCAGCGAACAATGATGTAATAAGGTCTCAGTGAAGAATGGGAAGAAAGCAAACCACCCATCAACCGAAACAAATTATGCAGCATTTCGCCACGAGGTTGAAACAACCACAACGCGGCCGCTGTGCGACATCAGACACCATACAGAGAAAAGGAGAATTGAGGAATTGGCCGTGATACAGCAGACTGAAGAAAAAGAAGGAAAAAATAGGCGTTGGGTTGGAATTCACACCAACCCTTGCGTATGTACTTCGTACGTTGAACAGGCCAAATGAGCCCTGCATTGCCGATTCCAAGGCATGACAAGGGATCACGCCGGTTCCCGCTGTCATTCAACTGAAGGAATGAAACCAAAAAAGAACTAAGAGTTAGACCAAACAGCTTAAAGATGGGTTTCCAAACACACTCTCTCCCCTACGCTGCAGAGTAAGACCGTGTCCCCGGGGCAATGTGCAGTACTGTGGGTGCCAAGTGGCTTGTTCAGTCCTGGTCTCACGACCAAAATGGCTCCAACAGCCCCTCAAGTTGAGTGGGGTTCGACGGACACGATCAGCAACTTCCTCGTTGGGGCATCCATTCCCTCGGGATTCTATTGAATTTGATTTTGGATGGTGGATTTTATTCTTGCCCCTCTTGTTTCGCTCTCGCTCTCACCGCTTGTCTGGAGAGTTTTGCGTAACAAGATTCCAACGTTGTTAGCCCAAGTGGCGGACACTATGGAGATTTGCTACAGGGATTTTTAGCCTGTCTCCGGATTGCCCCCAAAACTGTCTGACAGAAGTACCCCCGAGGCAATGGATCGACACTGCCGTTTTTGCCCCTCTCCCTTTTCTAGATACTTATCCTATTTGCCTTGGTTGCACGGTACTTGCTGACTGAGACGAGTGATAGGCAGCGGGAAAGATATCCATCCCGTGTGAATGTGGATATTCGTGTCTTGGAGAAGGTACGGAGTATGCGATTACATTACAACATACAAAAATGTGGGCAGTATCCACTCCGGTGTCTGAATCCACCGAGAAAACACCTTGGAAATTATTATCAACCCACCTGATGCCAAGGTTCTCCTGATTTTTCTTCATCCTGGGTCAATTCTCCGAGATGATCGGGTCCCACTCCATAACCGAACCAACAATCCACCTCAAATGTAAGGATCTGATACTTGCATTTGTAGTTGCAGGGTCCTCTGTACGGATGCCCAAGTTTGGTGTATAAATTTTCACATGACAACTAGTAGACGATGATGATTATATGACGATGATATGTCAAAACAACCAAGTTACTTCCATTCAGGGTTGCGCTCATAGACCCCGGGTCCAATTCAAAAGAATATGTAGTCCGACCACTGTTTTAAGTTCACAAGTCCAAAAAAAAAACTCTTCGGTCTAAAGCAAAAGCAAGAAAGAAACAAAAAAGCAAAACCTACAATACAAACAATATACGAAGTTCCATACTGTCGGGATTTCGACAGGGCTTACCCGCCCGGCTCCGCCGTTGGCTCACCCAGCGCCATGGTTCATTCCTCGGGTAAGGGGGCCGCCTACCCAACTTTTTTTTGGCCTCAACCTGGGGGAAGTCTTAGATCGTCAATATCATTCCTGTACGGAGTACTTCAATCTCCCCTATTTTACGACCCCAAAAAAGAAGGTGGAAATCCTAGTGGGGATATACCGGGTAATTTTGAAATCTTTTTCCCTTCCTTAGCGTATTCGACCATCCACTGCCCCATTCTCCATATCTTCATACAACATGGCCCCAACACACTGGTTCAGCTTCCAAATTGGGCTTGAAGACTCCTGCCAAGCCACATCCTTCACAATGATACATAGTAAGATGAAACATGGTTCATCATTCGTATTTGCACTTGCTTGGTGGATATTTGGTATTTTGGTGCGCCACCAAATACGGACTTAGCCATCTTAGTTCCGCTAGCCATATGCGTGAGATCGCGCTATAGATGCACTTACGTAGGGGTGTCATAGTGGCACTACCTCAGATACTAGCACAACACATGACAGAAAATGCTTGCATACTAGTCCCAGTATTGCATGATGATCAGCACATTCCTCGGTATAGAAATATACAGCATGAAACCTACTATTGAAATATATATTACGCCTAAACCTTATGGATATGCCAATATGACAAATTTGTATTCCATAGCTGCTAGCACATCTGTGTATGTTGTACAACATATGGAGCACTAGTTCTTCACTCCTCCCAATTCACAATACTATTTAGGTTGTTGGGAGTAGGTTCTGACAAAAGGCACTCCAACTACGTCCTTGGCCCAAATTGACACTAGTAGATGTTAGTAGCTCAATTTCATATCCATAAATCTAACCTAGGGCATTTACACTAATGATTAGTTTTGAGCACCTCGAATGCAGAAGCAAATAAGCCTTTCAGGATTATATGCTAGTTTGCAAAAGTGGAGAGGTGGAGGATATCAGATTTGCCCGTTTTTTAATTTGCACCATGTACATTGAGAAACTGTATACGAAAAGAGACTAAAATGAGAAGTAATGAAGGGGCCATGGGATAGAATGGGATACATAAATAATAGCAAAAGATGAAACGATAAATATAGTAGGTCACCTGTGGGCTTGAGTGCGCATATATATAGAGAAGTGAGCTATTACTTCATACCTGCAATATCAACAACAGAATGTATCCATCTTCTCTACGCGCGGTGTGATAGGTAGTCTCAATTGCTTAAATGTATGTATGACCCGCCATACGTCATTAATCGTGAAAGCACCGTCGCAATGCTCACATAAACAGCATGAATTCCAACAAATCGAAGAGTGGGGTATATAAAACTAAACAGAGAACAGGAAGAAACCAAGCACAACGCATACAACATACACCAGAAGAATGCATCCACCTTAGGACACCACCAGTACCACAAGCATGAGGTCAGTACAATAAGCACTCGTTCGCCTACCGCACATCCTCCCTCCCCGTCATAAACTCGACACCGGCCGAAACAATCTTCATAACCGTCTCAATCTCCGCTTCCGTCCGCGGCGCATAGATCAACACATATTCTGCCGGGATATCGGGCCTCATACCAAGCGAAAGAATCGACATCGCAGGTGTACCCGAGAAAGCATGACGCTGGCCCCAACCAGCCTCGATAACTTTGATACCTAGAAAACAATGTTAACACACGAACACCAAGCAAAAGAATAGAGAAAACCATACAATCAGCCGGCGCAAGAACCACGTGAACCGAGTGATCACCTCCAGAATGAACATGCGCAATCTCACGCTGCATAGTTTTCGCAATCCCAAAGACAGGAATATGATCCGCGACAAAGAGCCCATCAGCATGGCGTTCCAAATTCGATCTCTGGAATTTCACGAGGTGATGATTCCGATGTCCGAAGGCGTTGAATACAGAGCGGAATTTCTATCACAAAAACAAGATCAGCAAATAGCTCTTCACTCCTCGCCTTCTCCTTCCCAACAACCAAAAAAAGACCAAAAAGGAATATGCGTTACACAACATACCTCCATAACAGCCTCATCCGGCAACTGCGTCATCTGCCTCTGCGGTGCAACATGTGGTCCAACAACAGGTCTTTCTTCCCCACATCGACTCCCCAACTGCTCCTCGGGCAAGAACAAAAATCCATCATCGCCCTTCCCGTGTCCCTCAGCTGCCGCAATCCGTTTCACGTACTCGTCTGTGCTGAACATCTCGCGCCCGAATGGCTGGAACAGCGCGCGCACGACAATCCATCCTAGCGCGTTGTGCGGTGGTCCGCCAGGTCCGTAGGATTTGAAGATTTTGTAATCACGGTAGGCGGCGGGGAGGATAAGGGTCGAGACGAGGAGCGCTGTGGCGCTGAGGGCTAAGGTTAGGCGGTTTTGTGGTATGTTGGGGTGTGGGAACGGGATGCGGAGGATGGAGGTGAGGGTGGTTATTGGCATGTTTGTGGTGTTTGTATCGATCTGTACAGGGTTTTGTTGGAGGTTTGTAGAGAGTAGAGTGATTGTTCTTTTGGAGTTTACAAAATATCAGAGAGCTTCCCTTGAGATTATATGAAAATAACCTTTGGCCTTGTACGGCAAAATCCGGGGCTGACGTGAGAAGCCGCTTGCTGACGCGATCCCGTGGAATTCACGCGCTCCGGTTCTTTTCAGAAATTTGGTAGGGCTATAGATATATACTTCACATTATAAATCTGGGTTTCATTTCGCTATGCTACTCGTATTATCATTAACCCCGATGTCTGGTATGACTCGGTTCATGGATCTAGGTACAGTGATCTTGCGGATTTCCACGGCCCCACAGATGAGGCTTGATATGGTTGGTCCCCATTTTAGAGGGTCTCATGACTGGCTCGGTGCTGCGGTGCTCGACAATCCACAATCAAAAGTCCGCAGGATATGTCATACGTCACATGTCTCGGCTTCACCGAGTTTCAGGTGGCAGCAAACATCATAGGTCTGAAGCGCTTTGCTTCGTGTGCCCATAGCCAGAACACCCAACCGCATCTCTGTTTAGGTTGATTATGTTGATAATGATATCAAGGTGTAAAGGACACAGAACAAGGGATTGCAAGTTTTCAATCCTCCTTACTTTCCTCTCGGCTGATAGAGGTCAAGGAGTGTGCAAGCTTCAGGAGCACCACACTCTCCGTTGCAGCGAAGTAATTCAAGCTATAGTCATGTTAGAACCCATAACTAAGTAATATGAATACCCAAGGGTGTTACTCACCTGTCCATCAAAATTCGGAGGTGGCGTGAGAAATGGTCCTCGTATCTTTTCAGTGTGTCCTCGAGTTTTCCAATCCGAGTTGGATCATATCCTCTGGCATCAGCGCCGGGGACTTTACCTCCAGCCAAGTCGGGATCGGCTGAAGCCAATGCGCGTGAAAGTGATGCCGCAGTCCAGGAAGCAAACATGGTGCAGCAAGTCACCAGTTTCGAATGGATCTATATAGTTATTAGTATGAATATCACCGCTAGTGTAGAGAAACGTACCTTCAACAGTTTAGCCTGTGTGAGCATGCACTCTTTCAAACATGTATCTAAGAAATCCACATGATCCTGCATCAGCTCATCAACCGTCCGGTTGACCTGCTTCATATCATTTTCCTCCATCTCCGACGCATCGGCGTGAACGCTGTTGACACGATCCATCAGTCCCACCCAGTTGGGCTCGATGACCTCAGCCGTACAAAAGTACAAAAGCTGCTGAACAAACACCAACATCTTCGCGCGCAGATTCCACGCCCGCCGTTTCCATATTTCAAGCCGTCGATCAGACGATTTATGCCGCCAGCTGGTGGTCTTGTTCTGGTCTGCCCAGGACGTGACCAACAACGTTTCAAGATGGCGCAGCGATAGGAGATGGCGGAAAATAAGTTGGTACCGCAGGACCGTTTTGCGGCTAATGACCAGTGACAGAGGGAACGGAACTGAATAGTCCAGCTCAAGTGCATCGAACCCAAGAATATCCTTGTCCTCATCGGCGGAATGGACAGCAGAGACTTGTTGCTTCTCCGCTTCTGCGCCGTCTTGATTGACCCCTGAAACATTCACAACTTGCATCAACCATTTTGTGAGGCCGATCTTGTTCATTCGCACCTTAACATCTTCCTTGAAAGGGTCCAGTGCTGCAACACTGCCAGGCTGTCGAAGGACAATATCCAATAGTGACTGGAGCTTGCCCTCATTGACGGCACGTGCCGGTTTTCGTAGCTCGGAAGCACCAAGTTCGAGGAAGTAGGAAAAGAAATCGGAACGGTCCAGGAAAAAGTAATGTTTCAGGGAGCGGAATCGTGTAGTGAGGGAGTTTTTCGTGACAAGAAGATTCAACAAGGAAGCATTGGCATATGTGTAGGCGGAATTTACATTGTCCAGGAAGCGCGGATCGTCGAGCGTCTTTGGAACATCTTTGACCTCTTTGCTTACGTCGACACCACCACATTCACGCACCACGTTGAGATACTTTCCAGCCAGCAGAACTTTATCCTGCACGCTCTTCAGCTGAGGCGGAACCTCGTGCTCTCGAATCGTGTATCGTTTCTCCCAATACTCGTCCGTGTAGTCCTCCTCGAGTTTCTCGCGTTTGATCCATTTTTGTTCCTTAACCAAGAACTCGGCATGGGGATCCCTGATGCCGCCGTGGTGCAACCATTCGTTCAACATGGCCATGTAAGGCCTACTGGCGTCACGCAGTAAGGCCTGAAGCAAGGTCTTTGTGATTGGATCTCCTGAGAATGAAGCTAGACGCTCCGTTAGGAGTCCGAGAATATTGCCTCCTTTGCACATTTTCTTGCGGGCCATAGACCCTGGTACTAAATCCCCCCCTTCTTTGAGTTGTTCAAGTATATTGTCAACATCCTCATCGAAGTCGTCAATCGACTCCTCGAGTTCTTCGTCTAGAAGACCATTTTTGAGCAACAGTTCCTGGCCCATCGAATATAATTGGGCTAAGCATTGACTGGTGGGCATTGTGTGGAGACGAAGAAGGTGCAAGGTAAATGTAGGATTGTTCAGCAGCTGGCCTTCCAGCTGCGCGATAAGAATCAGATAATCTTTGAGGAGCTTTCGAATGGATGCGCACAGCGAGTGACTAACGGCGCCACACTCAGCGCGGCTTTGTATTTCCACAAATGCCTCCATAGCACTGTAGTGGGTCGCCATTTTCAACATGGACTGGATAAGGTCACGAAGGGTTGGATCCAGGCCCGGGGCTATCTGGAATGCTGGGCCCGTGAGGCGGTCTTTCTCGATCGATGGGTCGTATGAGCTAGCGTAGTGAACATATTGACCTTCAAATCCCATGAACACGAACAACAGGTCCTCCAAGATCGCTGCTTCCTGGGCATCGGGTGAGAGCTCTCGAAGTGGCCGAGGATGAAGGGCCTGTGGGGCCGTCGAAGCTAGAGGGGGAACTGATACACGACATGCGAGAGGAGCGGTCGAATGAGGAATCAATGACGCCTGGGGATTCCATGGTGCTGTAAAAGAAGAAGAAAAAGCATGGTCAGCAAATCTATTGCATTCCACAACAAACTGCGACGTAGGGATCACTCACTATCAGCCAGGTCCTTCTCCCCAGCTTGGGGACTGGGGTTTGCCTCATCAAGTTGAACAGGCTTCCTAGGCCGAGTCTTATCCCAATCGCCTCTGTTGGCTGCACTGATAGATTCCTTAACAGGGTTTACAGGGTTCCTTCGCACTGCCTTTTCCCGTGATGTTATCACCATCCGTTCTGTGCGCTTATCGGGCATGCTCTTCTGATCCCGGGATGTTCTGTGCTTCTGACTCGAGGTGCTGTGGCGCAAAGGATCCTTGTTCTCGACTTGTAGCGGCGACGGTCCGCGAGTTTCGGAATCGACGCGATTAGAGACGGCGCGGGGTCGTGGAGCGCTCATATACGCGGCGCGGTCATTGGCAGACATAATCCCGCGAGGGCAACGAGTAAATCATGCAGCATAGGAGATTGAAAGGCGCGAAATCGAAGAATCAACAACAAAAACAGCAGAACCAATGTATATGGGGAGAAGATGCAAGTATCCAAACAACTCCACTTTTGGTTTGGGCAGATCAACGCCTCAGGCACCAAGGCATCAACAGGCACCTCACCTCTTGCGTACGTCGAGAGCTTCCCTTCCCGAGCTTCACTCAGACACCCAACCTCTCCTCCTCTTCCGTTCCAACTGATTCTCTCCTCCATCGTGACTCTATATTGCTTTATTACTTCTCTTTTTGACAGGTTTCTCCCACCCCATCAGTTAATCCAATATGTTCATTGCACGATCAGAATATGGTAAGCTTCGTCAGGGTCTCCCCTCACCGCGGAATCAACTAACAGCTCTGGACAGACCGTGGAATCAAGTACGTCCTCCGAGACTAATCCGCGTCCTTAGATGGACCTGCAGCCTGACAATGTCCCCTCCGCAGCACCTTCTCCCCCGAAGGTCGTTTGTTCCAGGTCGAATACTCTCTCGAAGCTATCAAACTAGGCTCCACCGCCATCGGAGTATGTCATACCACTCAGTTCCTCCTTGCTCTACAATTACAAGAAAGGCCTCGAGATACTACACCGAGCGATCTTTGTACTGTTATCGGAGCGCAAAACAAAAGATAATGCGATTATGGGACCGTTCTTTCTAACACTCATTTAGGTAGCAACCTCCGAGGGTGTGATCCTCGGTGTTGAGAAGCGCGTCACATCCACGCTGCTTGAAGCGTCGTCCGTCGAGAAGATTGTCGAAATCGATCAACACATCGGCTGTGCCATGTCCGGTCTGCAGGCCGATGCCCGCAACCTAGTTGAGCACGCCCGCGTCGAGTGCCAAAATCACGCCTTCCACTACGCCGAGCCCCTGCGAGTCGAGAGCACCACACAGGCAATTTGCGATTTGGCTTTGCGATTTGGCGAGAGCGGCGATGACGAAGAGAGTGTCATGAGCAGACCGTTTGGCGTTGCACTGTTAATCGCTGGTTACGACGAGGACGGGCCCCAACTGTAAGATATGCAGTTTCCTTTTGTCTAATGTATATACTGACTCATTTTCTTTGCTAGATACCACGCTGAACCATCCGGCACATTCTACCGGTATGACGCCAAGGCCATCGGCTCAGGAAGCGAAGGCGCACAGGCGGAGCTGCAGAATGAATACCACAAGTCTTTGACTCTTGCAGAGGCCGAGACGTTGGTCCTCAAGACGCTGAAGCAGGTCATGGAGGAGAAGCTTGATTCGAAGAATGTCCAGCTGGCCAGTGTCACCAAGGAGAAGGGTTTCCGTATCTACAACGATGAGGAGATGGGTGTCGCTGTCACACAGCTGGGTGGCAACCAATGAGGACGATTAGTGTCGAAGATATCTCTTGAAGAGGCTCCTCGGACTTGATTTGGAGGCTAGTATCTATGTCGGGAGCAATAGAAAAATAATGACGATGCCGTCCAACGCTTACATGCTGGCCTAACTACGTCGTAGTTTATGTAGTAAGCAACCTACAGATGGTCCATGAACCCAGTGGTCATGCGTGATAAATTTTGGTTATGTACAATGACACAGACAGATCCTTTGCAACACCTAGCGGATCTTATAAACACATGGCTTCAACACCTTGGCTTCCTGCTCAGCTGACAGGCCAGACTCTGAATCAGGCTTGCGGTCAACAAAGCGCTTCTTGTTACCAGGCGCAGGAGCACTGAGAGCTGAAGCGTGTTTCCCCTTGGTAGGCGCACCACCCTGCTTAACAAACACCATTCTCACGAACATCTTATTGGACTTATCCACGGATTCCCGGCGAAGCAGGAAACCACGAGACTGGAACACCTCCACAAACGCCGAGATATCTGTCTCGTCGGTATTGTCAGACGGCCGCACATCCTCGGCAAAGATATCAGCCTCATCCTCGGAATCGTCGCCGCCCTTCTTCTTGAGCTTCTTCTTGTCTGCCTTGCTGCCGGGCTTCTGCGCACCGATCTGAGACTTCTTGCGTTGGACCTTGCCAAATCGACTCTTGACCTCACTGACCCAGCACTCGCCCTTGCCGTCATTGCGCAAAATACGCCATGCCTCCTCGACGAACGAAACCCAGTTGGTTCCCATCAAACTCAGACAGAAAATAGCCACATCCGCCGCCCCATCCTCCAAGGGGAGATTCGAGATATCGGCTTTGGTGATCAGCGGATCGGGTGCTGCCAGATCGTAGCTGTTGAGCTTGATGTTCAGCTTCTTGGCGGAGGGCGTCAAGGAGCGTGCGAGCTGTGCATCACCACAGCCCAGATCGGCGAATGTGCATACTCCAGTGGGACGACGGGGGAGCGGGTAACCCTTAGCAGGGTTAAGTGGCTTTCCTCGCCTCGGGAGCGGGATCGCACCGCGGGTGCGGATGGTCTTGATGTAATCGTCGACCGGGTTGGAGGGCCATGACTCCTTCACCTGTCGTGCAAATCCGGCATGGTACTCGTCAAACAACTCCGGGTTGGTACTGAACATCTCGAGTGCTTTCTCGGAGGGGGTGGTGTAGAGGGTTTCGTTCAGGTGGCGGAACCGAGAGGAGACCAGCTTCTGTCGCATCGCCTGCTGGAGAGGAGTCAGGTTCGCTGTGGGTGGGAGTGCAGGAGCAGCAGGAGCAGGAGCAGGAGCTTCTTTAGCCGGAGCAGTGGTAGCACCATCTGTCTCGATCTTGTCCTCTGAGGCGTTGTCCTTGTTCTTCTTGTTCTTCCTTTGCTTCTTCTTGGGTACTTTCTCCTCGGCTTGATCTGCGTCTGCATCGGCGGTGGTGACAGTTTCGCTTGTAGGCTCCTGGGTGGTGGTTGTCTCAGGTGTTTGCTTCTCCTTCTTTTCCTTCTTCTGCTTCTTCTCTGACTTTACGGAAGCTTCTGCGTCGCGCTTTCCACCCTTGGTGGTACCTTCAATGTGCCTGCGGTACATCTCATCCACGTTTCCTGCGGTGACACGGTCATTGGCACGCTTGCGCTTGTTATTCTTAGCATCGGCATTGGAGGCATCCTTCTCCGGCTGGGACTCGTTCTTTGGCTGCGCAGCCTGAGTCTGTGACTTCAGAGCAGAGCTCTCAACGGACCATCCTGGAACAGCGAACATGATTAATTCTGAAGGATTGGTTGTAAATGTCCAATGCCTTTGATGTAGAGGAAACAGTACCTGCGAAAAAAAAACCTCAAAGTTTCGTTATCGGTAATTTTACTATCGATTACATACACAGTGGTGCCTTAGGCACCGAGTCGGGGTAAATCTCGGCTAAAAGCCTATAACGTGACTTTGTTTTGGGGCACAAAGAGAACGTTGTACGCTGTGCTGTAATCTGTACACCCCTAAGCGCCCCGTAAGCCCTTGTAGCTATGAATGTCAATGCCCGTGGACCCCTAGCAGTCTAACCGTACACCTAGGAGGGAACCTTGCAAATAAGTAGGTGATCATATCCCCCTTTAACGAACAGTGTATCGCGGGTGATCTGCGATCCTCGGCAGCTTTCCTTACTTATCTGATCATTTGTGCCTTTTAGCCCCACAATGTCCTCGCACATGTCCACTCTGCAATCTTGAGTCATTACAAGGTTAAGGTTATGGCTGACGACCCGAAGGATCAGCTGGATAATCCAGCGGATCTTGCTGTTGATGGTTCTGCGGAAGCCTCAACCGCACGGTCAGGCCCCCGCAGACTCCCCAAGAAACGAACTAAGACCGGCTGTTTGAGTATGTTGCGGAACGCTGGAGATAGGGTTCCCCCGTTGACTAAGCCTTATAGCTTGTCGAAAGCGCCGAATCAAGTGCGGCGAAGAGAAGCCAATATGCACCAACTGCGTGAAATCCAAGCGAATCTGCGAGGGATATGCCCAACGGGTCGTGTTCAAGAACCCCATAGGCATATTTGGATCATTCAATACTGGCCACGGCCAGGATCCGCAGATAGAGCAACAACATATGAGGGTGCCGATCCACAACGACTATGGCGCTCAACTCCCTCCCCAACAAGCGGCAGCCGCTGCTCAGCATCCAATGCTAGCCCCGAGACCTGTTGATCCGATGGCGATGGGATACCACTCATTCCCGTCTCAAATCCCTTCCTCGACTCAAATACAGCCGACTAATGCCCCTCCCTTCTATTATCCAGCAGCTCAGATGCAGCCACAAACCCATATATGGCACACTCAGTCGATAGCTCAAGCAGATAGCACGCTGGTTCCATCAAAAGTAACTGACTTCTCACAAGTACAGCAGTCAGGCCAATTGGGCCCGACGAGCGCTCTACATAGGCCCCATGCAATTGTACAAAATGTACCCCAGATCGCTAGTCCGATCGGTCAAACAGCTGAAGAATACGCCCTCAATCTCTCTCCGGTACCAGCTCTCAATCCAGTGCTGGGAAGCAGGGAGAGCGAGCTGAACCCGGTTCCTCAGGTATGCATTGCCGTTATCTCTTTGTTTTTCGCGGTTGGTATACTAAGTACGATCTCTTAGATAACCCAGCCGCTGCCGACGATATATCATTATCAGGCACCGCCAGGGCAATTACCGCTGCAATTACGACCTCATGAGCAGTTTATACCCAGTCAAATACCTCATCAACCACAAGTGATATATATGGAGGATGAAAGCGAGGATTATTACGATGTAGACTCGGACGATGAGATGGTAGATCAATCTCAAGCCGAAGGCTTCAACCAGCTGAGTCTCATCATGGCCTCTGCTAACCGCGACGAGCGACAACTCCGCTCTTTCACGACGTACTTGAATGAGCCAAATGTGCTCGCCTCATACCGTCCTACACTTGGCTCTTCTCCCCTGAACAACCCAAAGACCGCCCGCATCTTTGCTCACTTCATTCACTCGACTGGTCCATCCTTGTCTATATTTGAACGACATCCTACCGACTCCTCAATCGTTCTGGGGGCGCCTGTCCCATCTGCACAACAGGGTTTA